AAAGAAACCCAAAAAATCTCCCCCCCAAGCCAGTGTTTTGCAGTAACTGCAGTTTCCAAGATAATAATGAAAGAATAATCCTAGTAGATTAAGTAGATTAGGGCTCAGTAGCCTTTTCAAAGCACTCTGCCAGGCTGGTTTTCTTTCCCAAAGCAGAATTCAAATATACCGTCGGGAATTAGCAGGAGCTGGGAGCTGCTGTCCCGCTCCAGCTGTCGGAGCCGGCCTCGGGTCCGCCTGTCCCAGGCCCTTCTTAGTGAGCACGGGCAGCAACGGGCTGCAATGTCCAACTGCTGACTTTGAGCGCAAAGCCTTCAGCCTCTGCTCAGGCAGAGCTTTGCTGGGTGTCCRCTGTTAATTTAGCTCATGAGCTTTGCAGATGACTTCAGGAGAGGTGGAAGAAGTGGTGATGGGAGGTGAGGCAGCACAATGAGCAGCGATGAGCGTTCCCGAAGGAGGTGCGAGGGGAATGGCTCCCGATGGAAACACAGGCTCCTTCAGGCAGCAGAAAGGAGCCCAGGCAGCAGAAAGGAGTCCTGCTGCTTCACACAGGGCTTAGCTCCCCGGTGYGATCCCCCGTCACATCAGCCGTGCCCCTTTATCCCACCCTCACGCCGCTGCTTTGCAAAGCAGCGCTGCTTCTCACCCCTCAAAGTTCTCACCCAGAGGCACTCGTAGGTGTTTCCAGCAGCCGTCTGCCTGGCAAAGCGCACCCTGAAAGAAAGGACTTGTCCCCACTGCTCTTCCAGCCGAGACCCRCTGCCTGAAAGTCTCTAGACTCTGTTTCTTTTCTTTCTTTTTTCTTTTTTTTTTCTCTGCCTAATTTTAGAGGTTTTTCTTTTCCTGGAAAAGCTATGTGAGATTCCCAAGCTGCCTAGGACTCAAAAGATCTAATAAAAATAAGATTTATTAAGAGCAGAGGGAGGAAATCAGATTAAAACTGAAGAAACAGCTTGGATAACAGATCTCATATTCAGCAAGTACACAGGAGCACTCCGTGCCCGTTTAACTGTTTCGTGGACGTTCTTTTCAGCCTCATCTCCAGAAAGAGCAGTGAACACTACAACGTGCCTCCTTCTCGGGAGGACATGAGCTAGTTTTACACYCAGCTGCACAGCCTTGTCCTTGTGTCCTTCCCTGCACCTTATTGGACAACCAATTTTTTCCATGTTGGTGGCCACCCAACTGGCTGCACAAGGAAGGCCTGGGCCTGGAGGGTTGGGAAGAGACATGGATGGCCTCCAGATGAGGCAGCAGCTGCGAACCGTGTCCATGCACCCATAGCAGCCAGCATGATCTGCTGCTYCTCACCCAGCAGAGAGGAGGCAGGATCTCTCCTCCAAACTAACTACTGATAGRACAAGAGGAGATGGCCTCAAGTTGGGCCAGGAGAGRTTCAGGTAAGRTATTAGGAAAAGTTTCTACACGGAAAGAGTGATGAAGCCTTGGAACAGGCTGCCCAGGGAACTGTGGAGTCACTGTCCCTGGCAGAGTCCAATAAATGTGTAGATGAGGCACTTGGGAACACAGTTTAGTAGGGTGGTGTTGAGGCGCTTACGGTTGGACTCAATGATTTCAAAGGTCTTTTCCACCTGTAATGATTCTGTGATTCTATGAAGGCCTCAAGGACAATTCTTCAATACTGTCTAAAATTCCATCCAAAACAGCATGTGAGAAAGCAGCACAACTGTGCCAGGTTACTTAATAAATTAGCAGATTTGAGGCATTTAGATAATTCAACTGAACTTCAGAGAACCAGTCGTATTTCTACGTGCCTGTACGCTTCGTCTTGCAACTTAAGCCCTGAATCAGCTCTTATAGAATCAATCAATAAACGCTCTCCATTGACTTGAACAGAAGCTGAATCAGATCCACTGCTAACGCTCACRCATCCCTAATTAACTGTCCCCGGCATTACTGAGGTGAGGAGAGATCACTCCTCAACCACTGCAGTGGAAATGGGGACTGAAGGATTATCGCATTACCTGCTGCCCCAGCAATCTTGTGCTCCATAGCGCTCTGGTTTTGGTGGCGTTGAAGACACCTGCTCTGCTGTGGTCTCCATAGCTCAAGTGTCCATAACAGCAGCACGGCTTGCTCGGCGCCGCGTGTTATTTGTCTCGCAGATTTAACAGCTTTCCAGCAAGTTTCCCCTGTTGTGTTCCTGTTACTTCCCTCCGCCCTGTACTATTTCAAGCCTTTATATAAGAGGCGCCGCAAGCCACTTGATTRTAGTTTGTTTGGACAGTTGTTCTGCAACAGAATTTGTTGGATTCAGCAAAAATGCCTTCTGCTGTCATAGCAGCACCAAACACGTAAGCACCAGTGACTGACTCGCAAGGGTGGCAGCACTYCTAAGCCTTGTAATTATGCACGGTGATGCTATTATATAATTGGGCTAGGGATTTCATAAATTATTCTGTCTATAGTCGTGCAGACATCCAACTTCAGGGTGAGCTTCAGTGCATATTCCCCTGTGGAAGGGACATCGGTTCATCCCATGACCTGGTGGGTTTGGGAAGAGCCTTGTGCTTACGGCAACCTCAGCCTTGGTGCCTGAGCGGCACCGTTTCCAGCCCCTTATCTCATTACCTCATCCCCACCTCAAACATGCTTGAGAACAGTGATAGCAGATTCTGGTATAAATAATGGAGTCTTGG